TTTGTATTTTTAGTAGAGACGGGGTTTCATCATGTTGGCCAGGCTGGTCTCAAATTCCTGACCTCATGATCTCCCGATCTCTGCCTTCTAACATGTTGGAATTATAGGCATGAGCCACCGTGCCCTGCCTCTCTTTTGGTTTAACCCGTTGCCATCCAGCCAGAGCTTCTCCATGGCGGTAGTTACTGTCCCCAGCCCTTGCAGTCATCCTTTCCAATAGCCTCTCTTCCAACGCCTGGATTTGTTTTTCATTTGACAATGGGCAGCCAGAAGGCCCAGCTCCATGGGGTTAAGAGGATAGAGTCTCAACACCTAGTGGGAAGACCATGGATCCAGGTGGTACCTGGCTGGGATCCCATTGCCACCTGCTTATGACCTGCTCCGGAGCCCGTGCACTCGCTCACCCTGCCACCTGGCATGCCCTTGCCCCTGTCCTTCCCACTCCCTCTTGTGAGTCAGCTCACAGCTCAATACCACCAGGGAGGTCCTCCCTCTCCTCCCACCCTAAAGTAGGAACCCCATCTTCACTTTGTCCCAAGGTCATCAGAGCAGAGACCATATCCGAAGGAATCTTTTTTGTATTTACTTTGTTTTTTTTTTTTTTTTTTTTTTTTTGAGAAGAGTCTCCTCTATCGCCCAGGCTGGAGTGCAGTAGTGCGATCTCAGCTCACTGCAACCTTCACCTTCCGGGTTCAAGCAATTTTCCTGCCTCAGTCAGCCTCCTAAGTAGCTGGGACGGTGGACTATCAAGGTCGTCCACCCTGCTCACCAATCGCCTCACGCTTAACAATTTATGGGTGTCAGTTTTTAGAAAGCAGGGAGCAACGCACTTGATGGCCTTGCAGGTGAACCCCCTTGGTTCCACCCCTGATGAAAGGCAGATGGTGTGGTACTCCGCAATGTCCCTGACCTGACTGGCATATGGTGATCCAAACCCTGCGTCAGCCTCCTCATCCAAAGTGCTAGGGATAAGGTGTGAGCCCAACGCAGCTCCGCCTATGCTTTGTTTTACTTTTTTTTTTTTTTTGTCTCCCTTTGTGAACCCAGAAAATCTAAGACAGTTCTGCGTTAATTTAGAAAGGTGCTATTTTTTTTGGCTGGGTCGGCTATAGGATGGCAACCACAACGCCCTATAATCGCCAGCACTTTTTGAAGAGACCCAGAGGAGGATGGAACGACGGAGGCCGATGCAAGCACCATCCTGGCGAGCCAGATGGTGAAACCCAGCAGCTTCCGGCTGTCCTTACCTAAAAATACAAAAATTGGCCGGAGGCGGGTGGCTCAAGCCTGTAATCCCAGCACTTTGGGAGGCCGAGACGGGCCGGATCCACGAGGTCAGGAGATCGAGACCATCCTGGCTAAACACGGTGAAACTCCGTACTCTACTAAAAAAATACAAAAAAAAAAAAAACCTAGCCGGGCTGAGGTGGCGGGCGCCTGTAGTCCCCAGCTACTCGGGAGGCCTGAGGGCAGGAATCGGCGTAAGCCGGGAGGGGCCGGAGCTTGCAGTGAGCCAGAGATCCGGCCCACTGCACTTTCCGCCAAGCTCGGGGGTCCGACAGAGCAGAGACTCCGTCTACAAGCGAAAAAAACAAAAAAAAAAAAAATAAAAGCTGCGGAGACCTAGCTAGCAGGCACCTGAAATCCCAGCTACTCAGGAGGCTGAGGCAGGAGAATCACTTGAACCCTGGGGGTGGAGGTTGCAGTGAGCTGAGATTGTGCCACTGTACTCCAGCCTGGGTGACAGAGTGAGACTCCATCTCAAAAAAAAAAATAAAAGGAAAATTGTTTTTTTGTTTTGTTTTTTTTTTTGTCAAGGTTGAGGACATGTGCCTGTGACACAGCCTCAGGAGGTCCTGAGGACATGTGCCGAAGGTGGTCAGGCAGCTTGGTTTTATACATTTTAGGGAGACATGAGACATCCATCAGTATATGTTAAGAAGTACATTGGATCAGTCTCTGGAAAGGCAGGACGACTTGATGCGAAGGAAGGAAGACTCAGGAAGGGAGCTTCCAGGTCACAGATAGGTGAGACGTGATTTCATTCTTTTGAGTTTCTGATGAGCCTTTCCAAAGAAGGCGATCAGAGCGGGGACTTTGAATGGAAGGGGAGGCAAGTTGGCCCTAAGCAGTTTCCAGCTGGACTTTTCCTTAGTGATTTTGGGGGCCCAAGATATTTTCCTTTCACACCTTCAACTAGAAAGTCCACTCCAGGGCCATGGTGACTTTGTGGTTTGTGCCTATACCCCAGACAGTGCTCGAGTGTGTGGTCAGTGTTCGTGAGCGAGAAAGTGCCTCTAGCCTGTGACATGCTCCTTGCTGACCACCTCCCCCGCCCCACGTAAAAAGAAGAGTTCAAGGAGGTCCCATTTGCAAAGTACTGGGTACCTAGTAAGTCTGTAATATTATATATTATGCTTACCACCCTCTTTCGGTGATACAGTCCCATTCCCCCATGTTTTAGAAACATTCAGATTAACCTCCCAAAAATTAAATGATGGTGGCCAGGCACGGTGACTCACGGCTGTAATCCCAGCACTTTGAGAGGCCAAGGCAGGTGGATCACGAGGTCGGGAGATTGAGACCATCCTGGCTAACACGGTGAAACCCCATCTCTACTAAAAAAAATACAAAAAATCAAGCCAGGCGTGGTGGTGGGCACCTATAGTCCCAGTAGTCCCAGCTACTACTCGGGAGGCTGAGGCAGGAGAATGGCGTGAACCCGGGAGGCGGAGCTTGCAGTGAGCTGAGATCGCACCACTGCACTCCAGCCTGGGGGACAGAGCAAGACTCTGTCTCAACAACAACAACAACAAAATTAAATGATGCAGAGATGTGAACTCCTGTGTCAGGGAGGAAAAACTTTACCCTCATGTTCATGGTTGGAGGCCTGCAAATTAAACTGACCAAAGAAAGATTCAAAGGAGAAAAGACTTTTAAGGGCGGGCGCGGTGGCTCAAGCCTGTAATCCCAGCACTTTGGGAGGCCGAGGCGGGCGGATCACAAGGTCAGGAGATCGAGACCACAGTGAAACCCCGTCTCTACTAAAAATACAAAAAATTAGCCGGGCGCGGTGGCGGGCGCCTGTAGTCCCAGCTACTCAGGAGGCTGAGGCAGGAGAATGGCGGGAACCCGGGAGGCGGAGCTTGCAGTGAGCTGAGATCCGGCCACTGCACTCCAGCCTGGGCAACAGCGTGAGACTCCGTCTCAAAAAAAAAAAAAAAAAAAAAAAAAAAAGACTTTTAAACATTCAGGTATACCAGAGTTCACAGAAAAATGTGACTCAAGGTTAAGTGGTTAGGATTTGGGGCTTGTATACCATCTTCATGGAGTGGGGGACTCTTAGGAAGGATGAACGGGGTCCGGAGGAGAACAGCTGGGATTTATGTCAGTCTTGTGACAATAGCTGCCTAGGTGATTGCTTATCCTGGTGAGTGACTGACTGGTGAGACGTGCAAAACTCCCTAAAAAACCCCAGGGCGGGGATTTGTGGCAGTTGAATTCTTTTTTTTTCTTTTTTTTTTTTTTTTTTTTTTTTTGAGACAGAGTCTCACTCTGTTGCCTGGGCTGGAGTGCAGTGGCCGGATCTCAGCTTACTGCAAGCTCCGCCTCCTGGGTTCACGCCATTCTCCTGCCTCAGCCTCCCGAGTAGCTGGGACTACAGGCGCCCGCCACCTCGCCTGGCTAGTTTTTTGTATTTTTTAGTAGAGACGGGGTTTCACTGGGTTAGCCAGGATGGTCTCGATCTCCTGACCTCGTGATCCGCCCGTCTCGGCCTCCCAAAGTGCTGGGATTACAGGCTTGAGTCACCGCGCCCAGCCGGCAGTTGAATTCTTTTGAGAGATTCTGTTTTTTAAGCAGGTAAGTAGAGTTCAGAGGGAAAAAAAAAGGAAAAGTCAGTCTGGATATCAGTTCCTCTACCTAATTTTGCCATGAATCAAGTAAATCACCCTGTACTTTCCTTCTCCCTGGTCAGGGGACATTGTAATTATTTGGTTCTGGCAGGGCATGGTGGCTCTCGCCTATAATCCCAGCACTTTGGGAAGCCGAGGTGGGCGGATGGCTGGAGCCCAGGAGTTGGAGACCAGCCTGAGCAGCATAGTGAGACTGTCTCTACAAATAATTTCAAAATTATGGGAGGCCAGGTGCAGTGGCTCACACCTGTAATCCCAGCCCTTTGGGAGGCCGAGGTGGGCGGATCACAAGGTCAGGAGTTTGAGACCAGCCTGGCCAATATGGTGAAACCCCGTCTCTACTAAAAATACAAAAATTAGCCGGGCGTGGTGGCACACACCTATAGTCCCAGCTACTCGGGAGACTGAGGCAGGAGAATCGCTTGAACCTGGGAGGCAGAGGTTGCAGTGAGCCGAGATCGTGTCACTGCACTCCAGCCTGGGCAACAGAGTGAGACTTCGTCTCAAAAAACAAAACAAAACAAAATTATAGGAGGCTGAGGCAGGTGGATCACCTGAGGTCAGGAGTTCAAGACCAGCGTGGCTAATATAGTGAAACCCCATCTCTACCCGGGCAACAGAGCGAGACTCCATCTCAAAACAAAAAAAAATTAGCTGGGTGTGGTGGCACGCACCTGTGGTCCCAGCTACTCAGGCGGCTGAAGTGGGGAAATCACTTAAGCCCAGGAAGTTGAGGCTGCAGTGAGCCCTGATGGCACCACTGCACTCCAGCCTAAGCAACATAGTGAGACCCTTTCTCAAAAAAAAAAAAAAGAAATAAAAGAAAAAGAAATTATTTGGTTCGCAGGAGAGAAACAGGCTGTGTTCTCCAGCCCCGGGCTTTTCTTCTCTGCTCACCTTGCTGACTCCCCATGAATACTTGTATCCGGCCACCAGGGTGGCATTTTGCAGAAAAGCAGTAATTTGCACATCACCTAAAAGAGTTCACACATCCCCCATGAGGTGTAACATACCATCAGGGATCACTTCAGTACTGGAGAGAAGCAGCTGATCAATGAAGAGCTTTAATGACTTCAGAGTCTGGGGCAGGGGAGAATCTAATTTATTCAGCCAACCACTGTGGACCCACAGGGGAAAGAACAAAGAGCCACAAACAAAAACTCACTTCCGCTTCAGGACCACTTAGCCCACCCCAGGCTCCAGGCTCCTGGTATTTAATCCTCAGAACGGTTTCTGAGGCAGGCATCCTTATCTCCACTGGAAAGACAGGGATGGAGGCCCAGGGACCACCACCTGCCAAGGTCACACAGCCAGTGAGCACTGAGTAGAAACGAAAAGAAAGTCTCATTCATGTAGTTTCAAACTAATGAAAAATGTAAAAATATTTAAAAGTATTTTCGGTACACAAAAATCTATTATATATTTCTCTTCTGTGTTACGCCAGTTAATGAAGACATAGATGAAAAGCAGAGAGGGAGAGAGATTGAGAAAGTCCAAGAAAACAGGAAAGAGAAATGAGACACAGAGGAGTCCGTAGACCAGGTCAAGATCCCCACCCACGATGGAGGATAGCAGAATAAACCGCAGCCTCCTCACACACCGAGGGGCTTGGGGGACTCCCAGTGACGTAAAGGTGCCCTCCTTGACTTTCTTGCTAACAACAATGAAGCCCGCTCCACAGTGGCGTTCTAAAGGTTTCCCACGTGCTGACGGCTGAGTTGGTTTTCAAGCTTTACTTAGAGCTGGCTGACACTATCACAGAGGCCTGAAAGTCCCTTTGAGAAAGGAGCCATGCAGGTTGGTTTTAGCCCACAGTCTCTGAACACAATTTGGTACTGACTTTTTATTTATTTGTTTAAAAACAGAGATGGGGGTCTCACTATGTTGCCCAGGCTGGTCTCAAACTCCTAGGCTCCAGCAATCCTCCCGCCCCCGCCTCCCAAAGTGTTAGAATTACAGGTGTGTGCCACTGCTCCCAGCCGGTATTAATGTTTGTGTCAATTTTCAGCCCCCTGTTCCACACCCCCACCCCCACACATGCGTGCTCGCACGTGTGCACACACACACACACACACGGACTTAGATTCTCCCCATTTGAGCAGCTTTCCTCCAACTGTTTGGGTAAGTGTGTACTGGTGCCATATAAATATGCTCAATAAAGCCCATGGTGATGACTCAGCTCAGCACTCTGTGAGCTCCTCTACTGTCCCCATCCAGAGTCCCGAGTTTCTGCATTAAACATGGTCGTCATAACCCAAATCCATCGGGCAAGAAACCCTTGCTGCAGACCTGGGTCCAGCACGTCTCCTCCAGACAATTGGGAGGTGGAAGCCCCATGCTTAGTGTGGGTCCTTCCCACAGGTAACCGAAACAGAGGGCCAGAGGGATGGGACCCCAGCATAAAAGATGAATGTATAGGCTGGGTGTGGTGGCTCACGCCTGTAATCCCAGCACATTGGGAGCAGAGGCGGGCAGATGGCTTGAGGTCAGGAGTTTGAGACCAGCTTGGGCAACATGGCAAAACCCCGTATCTACTAAAAATACAAAAATATTAGCCAGTCATGGTGGTGCATGCCTGTAGTCTCAGCCACTCAGGAGGCTGAGGCAGGAGGATCACTTGAACCTGGGAGGCGGAAGTTGCAGTGAGCCAGGATCATGCTACTGCACTCCAGTGTGGCCAACAGAGCCAGACCCTTGTCTCAAGCAAAAGAAACAGATGACATGTATATATATGTTCATCTCTGTCTCAAAAAAAAAAAAAAAAGAATGTATATGTCATCTGTTGGTTGTTTTTTTTTTTTTTTGAGACAGAGTCTTGCTCTGTCACCTAGGCTGGAGTGCAGTGGCGTGATCTCAGCTCACTGCAACCTCCACCTCCCCGGTTCAAGCGAGTCTCCTGGCTCAGTCTCCCAAGTAGCTGGGATTATAGGCGCCGGCCACCACACCCAGCTAATTTTTATTTTATTTTTTTTATTTTTGAGATGGAGTCTTGCTCTATCACCCAGGCTGGAGTGCAGTGGCGCGATCTCGGCTCACTACAAGCCCCGCCTCCCGGGTTCACACCATTCTCCTGCCTCAGCCTCCCGTGTAGCTGGGACTACAGGCACCTGACACCACACCCAGCTAATTTTTGTTGTATTTTTTAGTAGAGACGGGGTTTCACCATGTTGGTCTGGCTGGTCTTGATCTCCTGACCTCATGATCTGCCTGCCTGCCCGCCTCGGCCTCCCAAAGTGCTGGGATCACAGGCATGAGCCACCGCGCCCGGCCAATTTTTGTATTTTTAGTAGAGATGGGGTTTCACTATGTTGGTCAGGCTGGTCTCAAACTTCTGACCTCGGGTGATCATCCCGCCTCAGCCTCCCAAACGGCTGGGATTACAGGCGTGAGCCACCACGCCCAGACTGGAGTTTGGCTTTATAGACTAAGGGCTGAAGAAAGCAGAAACAACAAAAAGCATGTTGATCATTTCAAAGTTAAATTCTTTGTAAGGCAGGAAAAGAGAGACAGGACAATACAAAGACAACAAGAAAAAGATAACCAATCATAGTTACATCTCTTTTTTCTTACAGAAATGGTATCTTGCTATGTTGCCCAGGCTGGTCTCAGACTCCTAACCTCATGTGATCCTCTCACCTGGGCCTCCCAAAGTGCTGGGATTATAGGCGTGGGCCACGGAGCCCACCATGTTACTCTTTGTTGTAAGGGTTAAAACAGAGGGAACTTCATTAGCGTGCTGACTGGAGACTAAAACTGGCCTGCCTGGGAAATTAGGCTTCTATTTCTCTCGCCTGATTTCTTGGGAAGTCAGACAACAACTCAGTGTTGGTTTGCTGAGCATGGGTGACTCCATTTTGGTTTTAGTCTGGTCTTTTGGGGCCTAGTGCAGGAGTTTAGTCCAAAACAAGGGCCTCCTATAATTTTTGTTTAACACTCTGAAAGAGAATGAACTGAAACTAACTGTTCAAAGGTATATTTTCTCTTTGCTTTCTGTAGCTTTTATTGTTTAATGCTTAGCCTTGGAAAGATATGCTGTTCCATATGTTCTAAAAGGAACAAAACAGTCTGCCAGTGCTTAGCATCTACTCATTCCCAGCCACTAGAGTCCCCAGCCTCATCAGAGTTTAGCAGACTGTTAGCTGTTATATTAACTAAATGTATAAAATGCTGATATCCTAATATGCCTCTTTTTTTAAAAATGGCATCATAATTCATAATTTGTGGGCTCGCAACCATTTTCTTGGCACCCACTGGACTCCCCCATGCTTTTTAATTCTGTGCTTTCTGTGCAAACAACACAATAGTTGGAACTGACTTCAGGCCAACTGCTTCCTTTTAACTTTTGTCATGTTACCCAGAATAGAGGCATGGGGTTGTTTACCCGGTTTTCATTGAGGAACATTCTTCGTCTTCCAAGGAATACATAAGACGTGTTCCTGTCTCAGAACACCAAGCTCTGAAAGGTGACTTTTCTGCTAGAGTAATTACGCCGGTTGACTGAGCTCCGGAAAGGAAATGCGTTCTTGGTTGCAGGGAGAGGAAGTGGCTTGCATTGTTGGACAACAAGAAAAATGATTGTTTCCGAGGGTCATTGTCCTCAGCCTCTCTTTAGAGAGCCTGGATCTTGTAGCCATTGGTTATGGAAGTGGCTCTGGGAATAACTGCTTGCCCTGGGTGATGATTGTTGATGAAAAGAGTCGAACTCTGTGAAATATTTGAAGAGATTTATTCTGAGCCAAATATGAGTGACCATGGCCCAAGACACAGCCCTCAGGAGGTCCTGAGAACATTTGCCCAAGGTGGTCAGAGCACAGCTTGGTTTATACATTTTTTTTTTTTTTTTGACACGGAATCTTGCACTGTCGCCCAGGCTGGAGTGCAGTGGTGCGATCTTGGCTCACTGCAGGCTCCGCCTCCTGGGTTCAGGCCATTCTCCTGCCTCAGCCTCCCGAGTAGCTGGGACTACAGGCACCTGCCACCACGCCCGGCTAATTTTTTGTATTTTTAGTAGAGATGGGGTTTCACCATGTTAACCAGGATGGTTTTGATCTCCTGACCTTGTGATCCACCTGTCTTGGCCTCCCAAAGTGCTGGGATTACAGGCGTGAGCCACCACGCCTGGCCTGGTTTATACATTTTAGAGAAGTATGAGACATCAATCAAATACATTTAAGAAATACATTGAGACTGGGCACAGTGGCTCACTCCTGTAATCCCAGCACTTTGGGAGGCCGAGGCAAGAGGATCACTTGAGGTCAAGAGTTTGAGACCAGTCTTGCCAACATGGTGAAACCTCATCTCTACTAAAAATACAAAAATTAGCCAGGTGTGGTGGCAGGCATCTGTAATCCCAGCTACTTGGGAGGCTGAGGTGGAAGAATCACATGAACCCGGGAGGCAGAGGTTGCAGTGAGCAGAGATCACACCACTGTACTCCAGCTTGGGAAACAGAGCAAGACTCCATCTCAAAAAAAAAAAAATACATTTGCTTGTTCCAGAAAGGTGGGACAACTCAAAGCCAGGGGTGGGATTCCAGGCTATAGGTGAATTTAAAGATTTTTTGGTTGACCATTGGCTGAGTTTGTCTAAAGACACGGGATTGATAGAAAGGGAATACTGAGGGGTTTTTTTGTTTGTTTTTTATTTTTTATTTTATTTTTTATTTTTTTTGAGACAGAGTCTCGCTCTGTCACCCCGGCTGGAGTGCAGTGGCCGGATCTCAGCTCACTGCAAGCTCCGCCTCCCGGGTTTACGCCATTCTCCTGCCTCAGCCTCCCGAGTAGCTGGGACTACAGGCGCCCGCCACCTTGCCTGGCTAGTTTTTTGTATTTTTTAGTAGAGACGGGGTTTCACCGTGTTAGCCAGGATGGTCTCGATCTCCTGACCTCGTGATCCACCTGTCTTGGCCTCCCAAAGTGCTGGGATTACAGGCTTGAGCCACCATGCCCGGCCATACTGAGGTTAAGATCAAAGATTGTGGAGACCAAAGTTCTTTTGAAGTCTTTTTTTTTTCCTTTTTTTTTTTTTTTTTTTTGAGAGAGAGAGAGTCTCCCTCTGTCTCCCAGGCTGGAGTGCAGTGGGGCAAAAGCCACAGACACTCAAGGCCAGCCAGTGAAAGCAGCCAGCCGCCGGCAGCCGGGAGGGGAGCTGTACCCTAAAAAGCCACGGAGTGGAGCTGCCCAAGGCCTGGATGTGAGACGTGGAGTCAAAGGGGATCATTTGGAACTTTAAGGTTTAATGACCGCCCTATTGGATTTTGGACTTGCATGGGGCCTGTAGCCCCTTTGTTTTAGCCAGTTTCTCCCATTTAGAATGGGTAT